CAACCAATTAATGTCTCACAGCAAGTATATCAGAATGGGAATGTCCCCCCCCCCACCCTATATGCAAGGAGATACCCATACCCTGAACTTCTCAGCTTTCTAGTACTGCAATTACCAGGCAACTTGGTATACTGTTATTGTATTTTGAGGTTTCCGTACGCTTCATTTTAATGTTCTCCTTTAGCCAAGTTTTATGACATACTGTTTAATAACATAATTATTATATATTTGTTCAGTGATCCCGGGAAAGAACAAAGTGATGACGTGTATGTGTAAAAGTAAATAAGTACCTAAATAATTGATATTCTACCAATAGTTTTCTTTATTATTAGTACTAACTACTCGCCCCGGCTTCGCACGGATGTACATGTATTATATATTATAAACCTTCCTCTTGAATCACACTATCTATTACAAAAACCGCTTCAAAATCCATTGCGTACTTTTAAAGATTGAAGCATACACACAGCGAGGGCGACTTTGTTTTATACTATGTAGTGATGATAATGATTGGTAAACTAAATTCTTAGTAATAAATGCGTCCTTTTTTTTAAAGAAATGTATAAAAATGTAAACAAGTTCATTTAAGCTCCGTTGATCTTATTGAAGAGTAAAAAAGTTTGTTTGTCTTTCGTGAATATTACCGTTAAGTAATGTTTTCGAAGGAATTGTAAGAGGCGCAATATTTTCTCCGAAATCCCGAGAGTGGCTTATTGTTGCGTGCAAGTAAAGCGAGGGGCAGAAGAGTGGGCTAATCAAATTGTGGGGCTTCAAGGGGCGTCAAGTCGAGTCACGTTGGTCTCTGACGCTGCGGGCGAGTACCCAATTTAATATTATAGTGGCATATGACTAACAGGACTATTTTTTTATTGTCAAAATGGGACTCTTGTCTTTTTTTGGATAGAAGGAAAGACAGTCCTAAGACGAGACAGTTTCGCTCGAGGCTGGTACATATGAGTACATACGTAAATAAGTAAATAGATTTATTGTATGGCGTATCGCAAAAAAAAAACAATTCAAAAGTGAACTGAGAGTGATGTAGGTTCAGAAAGAACAACATTTTCTTTAATTAATTAATTGAGAGTTTCATTTTACTACTACTGTACAATACTTATATAACTATAATTTAGTATGGTATGCGAAGATTAAATTGGAAAATTTCTTGTACATTTACAATATCTACCTTCAAGTAAGTTCTCATTTTGGGTGGTAGGTGGAAACCTGAGTACCATTCGTTTATATACACGACTTTTCATTCATATTCATAACTCGTCTCATCTACGCTGGTACCGGAGACTTATTATTTGAAGTTATATAAGAAAAAAAGTAGAAATGTCAAAAACATCGATATTTATGCGTCAATTCGCATATTATGCAGTCAAGTTTATTCAGCGTATTCAGCATATATTTATATGCTGAATACGCTGTATGTATTAGGAATAATATTATGCCTAAAAAAACATTAATAAATATACGAATGTGTGTTATAGGTTAATTTTATATTTAACGAGGAAAATAAAAAAAGACAATGTTACTAATTTCTATTCAGCTCATAATTAATTATGTTTACTTGGCAGAAGAATTCTTTTGTCCGTAAATATTAAGCCGTAATGAATTTTAATATGTAAACATAATTGTTTGCATTAAGACGTGTCGAACTACTTATTTGACCTGACTACGATAAATATGTATATATCTATTTTAATAATAATTGTGCTACCCGCAAACTTGTTAAGCAATTTTTTTAATGCATGATAACGATAGGTGATTCCTTCGCTGGTATACGCTGGAGAGACATTAGTGGATGATGAAATCGTCTCGAATAGCTCATGATAGTTTCTAGAGAAAGTAATGTGGAGTTTGAACTGTTAGTATACATTGCTAGTGATGGAGTTATTTCACTGTCTAACGAAATAGACTAACTGACTATTATCTGTTGTTCTATTATCTCGTCTAATTTGGCTTGCTTTGTAGTTGTATTTTGGTTGTAGTACCTAGGCAAAGTAGTCCGTCAGCTTGTTTGCCATTCCATTTGCATAAAAGAGGGACAAAAGCTACTTTCTATACCCGCCGACTATACTCCGCGGATGCATTCAATGGAGGCCATGTCTGTCTGAAAATTCGCCATAAACCTAAAAACTATGGAACGGATTTTCATATGGTTTTTTCATCCATACAGTGATTTCCGAAGATTATTTACCAGTATTATTGTTGATTACGATTGCAAATACCTGTGCAAAGCACTCGGGCTGGTCACTAGTATTATTAAATAATACTACATAGTACATTAATACAAGTAGGTAGATAACAATAACATTATATAGTAGAAGATTTCGATCAAAAACAAATTGTCTTTATGAACTTTAGAAAGAATTGTTTAAATGTTGTTTCATTTTTCTTCGAAGTACTTTTGAATAACATTCTGATTATTTTTAAGAAAGAAATAATTTACTTAAAATCAAAAAGCCGAGGTGTTTGTTTTGTTGAATTATATGATTATATCATCATTGCCTTGCCTTTATCCCATTATTTGGGGTCGGCGCAGTATGTCATTCTCTTCCACTGATCTCTATCAGTCGTCATATCTAAACATACTCTTCTTTTATTCATATCATCTTTCACACAATCCATCCAATATATGATTATATATTAAATATATTTGAGTATTATGAAGATTTCAACGATTATATTATACTAGCTTAAGCTAAATAAACGTAGTGTGGTCATCAAATTAGTCAGAGACACCTCTACATCTTTGTGTGTTAATATAAATTTATGACTAATTTTCCGGTGATGGTAACACTGATCATAGTCAAATTAATTATTACATAATTGAGGAAATGAGGAAAACTATTTTCTTTACATATTAGTCTGTCTGTACATATATTTAATAGTCAGTACAAGAAAAAGTGAAAAGTGAAGTAATTGAATTAACGTCATAACGATTTTTGTTTTTATATTTCTTAACATATTGCGTGGTGTCGAATCAGCGTATCATTAATCTGTGTACCTATATGGATTAAAGCTACGACTTGTCTTGTAGCCGGCCTTTGACAGGGGTCACTTGTTACGTGACTAATGGAAGGCCTGGAGGTTGTTTGCAAATAATCCTACTTCGCTTGCAAACTTCCATTTATTGATAAATGTCATCACACTCAGCGATTTAGGTGAAAGCTGTATAGTCAGCTTTACTCGTATATCATTGCGTTGAGGATGGTCAAAATTATAATTTTATATACTTAACTATACCTACTATTAGAATAACAGTAGGTATTGTTGTAAATAATCGAAATGGCTAATATATTTTACAACATTACGCCGGGCTTTAAAGTCATAAAATGGTGTTTTTATATCCGGCGAAGTATGTAATAAAAGTTTCGAATATTAATATAAAATAGAGTAATGGCTTCCAAAATAATTATAGACCACACCGTAAAGCTTTACCAATACGACGTCATGGTAATATTCTTATGATCTGTTTATTATATATATTGTTTTTGCTATAATATCAATAGGTTGAAGTGCAGTGAAATTACTTTTAGAAATGTACAAAAGGAGAAATTTGATACGATGAGCACATGTAGCAGGGTCGATGTCAGGAGCGTGCTACGTAGTTTTATGTAGGTACGTATATAATCTTTCCCAAGAACAGACTGGATGAATAGCTCTTATACACATTATATTACAATATAGTTGTCATTTTAGTTGTTATGAAATACCAACGTACTGTTTTAGCAAAAATTCAGTGTAAAGAACGTCTAGGTTTGATCTACAAACTTAGACGTTCTTTACACTGATCGACTATTAATGTATCTACCTGGAAAGATTACTAAGGACTATAGTTTTCATGATCATTATCAATTCAGTCATCGCAGTCCACTGCAAACGTGCGACTACATACTTTTGGCAAGTCACTGTACACCAATAAAACACTCGCATGTTTAGACTGACACAAGTTTGGCGTCCAGGCGGGAGTTCTCGGGTGACATGTCCCCCGTTCACCCACCACCAATCTCTCTTGTCTGTGTTCTCTATTTATTAGACGTTTTTTTATATATCACGATTGTGGCAAATAACTATCCAGCCTATCTGATGGTAAACGGTTACGGACGGCCTACAGATTCCTACAATACTAAGAATATCCCCTGCACTTTGCCAACATTCTATAATTACAATGTTATAATTAACATAAAATCATATTAAAAAAGATTTATTTTTGGATTTTATTTATGGATGATAATGGAATGGTGCACTCGCCTGCACTAACGATTTACACTGGGCACCAGTGGAGTATAATAAGTTGACCATGAGGTCAGTTCAGTTAGCCCATCGCGTCAAATTTATCACGATAGAATAGTTTAGAAATTAGGCTGTCCTGGTACATTGCAACAACCATTCCGGTCAACCTGGGTATAGCTGCGTCTAGTCAATAGGGTATTTTTAGACCATATTACCACAGATAACATAATATTACAAAAGAACTGCTCCCCAATTAGAAATTTTTCGGTGTGGTTTTGTTTATTATACGAGAATAATAAAACTCCAATAAAATTTCTGTGAAATTAATGAAATGAAGGGAATTACGTGAATTAATGTGAAATCTATGATTTTTTTCTAAACAGACATTAGTTCGACTTTAAAATAATTCTTATTTCTTAATTATATGTTGGCTGTTATAGAGATAGGTATGTCTTAATTCTATCTAATAAAAAAAAAACATTGTGTGATTTTTTGTGAAAAATATCACATGGGAAAAAGGAACTGAAATAATCTGAGTATATAAATAGGTAATTATATACGTAAATGATTATTTCCGGTAACTACTACCTATTATTGTATTATTATACTAATAATACAATTTAGGATGATTTCCGCTTTCAGCTTTGGTACATGTAGTCTCATTTGTTTTCGTATTTTGGGCCAAACGATTGTTTGGATGTCAGCGTTACAAAAAGGAAATAGGTACATTAAATATATCAAGTTTGTGATATTTTCACGGTTTATCTTTTACTAATGTTCACATTTTCGAAACTAATGCTTTTATACAATCTTAAAACGTTTTCCTGAGGAGGGTGGTACTTTGTTAAGTTTTCAATCTTGTTCATTTGTATTAACTTTAGCATTTCGTGTAACTTGGATTTTAATCTGATTATTAAAGTTGGTTTATCTTTTACATTAAATCTATCAATAATAGCCCGGTCTGTTAAAAGAGTAAATACTTTATGATGTTCATTGCAAATTTTATTCGTCGAAGTGTTTGTTTGAATATTTCTTCTGTCAATATTCCAACGTGTAGTAGTGCTGTTGTCTGAACAAAGAATTTGCTGAATACTTGTTGTTCTGCTTGTTTTTTTACAAAACGTTTTGTTACATTGAACTGCCACATTTCGGTGTTTGGTTAATCCACTTCCTACCTGGATACTTTGCGGCTGACCCTCGAACACTGCTGAAACTTTGTTGCTACACTTAACAGTTATCTTACTGCCATTATTCCTTCTACTATCATAGGATTTATTTGAAGCAACTACGACCTGTAGTTGTTGCTTATCTTGACAAGTAGATGTTGTACAGGTTTCCTCTTCTTTTCGTGTTAGACGATTTTGTATAGCATGAATTATTGGTGTTGATGGATTATTAACTAACTGACTTATACCCCATAGATATCCTCCTCCCATCAAGCATCATAAAATTTGATGAAGTATCAATGTCTTTATTAGCTGAACATTGATGACAATATGTGTCACTTACAATAATATAATTAAATAAAATCAATAATAGCCAGTTCTAGTTAATGTTCAGAAGCTGGTATAAATAAAAATATTAATTGAATTCATTACAAATCATCTAATTGACCAAAAAGTAATATAGTTACAAATCTGTAGTACATATATTCGATATATATGTAGTTACTGACTAGAGTTGAGATATATCTATTTGAAGTAATTGTATTTTAGGGTCGCAACTGATAGAAGTTAATTGATAAACAGGCTTTAGCACGTTGATAAATGATTCTTAGAGTTTCCACTGTGTAATATTCTCTTACCTGTGGTTTTAACTAGGTATTGTCTCTATATTATCTAACTATAGTTCAGTGTAGTTATAGTTCAGAGTTATCTATAGACAGAAATACTTCAAGTATAAATTATATTAATATATTGTATTATCCGTACTAATATTATAAATGGATAATAACTCTGTCTATCTCATTTTCACGCCGAATAATAATAATAATAAAGAATACCGAAGTGATTTATATGAAATTTGGTACACAGATAGTCTAGAGCCTGAGAAAGGATATAAATATGATACTTTTTAACGCAAATAAGGGTTGTAAGGGGTTGAAAGGGGAGATATAAGTTTATATAGAAGTATCGTCGTTTTTAAAGCTAGAAGCGCGAAATTTATTTTTTGGCAGTTGATAAAAAATGTTAACATTAAAAGAGTAAAATAAAATAGGGGATTAGTGGAAATTGTCATAATTAAAGCTAAAAATATTTTGTTTTTGTTTTCTATGGTTAGATTACTTATTGAATATTTTTTCTTTGTTCGGAAAAGGCATACGCGGCACACGCCAACGAAGTCATCTAGTATCAATAGTAAAGATTTTAGTAATCTAAATGTAGTTACTACTCTTTGTCAGATAATTAACTGTTTAAATCTGTGTTATATTGTTATGCATTATGTAACTTTTATGTACTCAATAATTACAATGATTCACTACGAAGAAAAAGGTGTTAAAGTTAAAATATTACTCTATAAGCATTAGTTATGTTTATTCGATTAAAAATAGTTTGGCATTAAAAATAATAAGATAGGGTTATTACACTTGAGTGAAATGAAGCCACCGTAATGGGTTCACAACACATACATGAATTACAAGAAAAGGGGAAAATTCAGTCTATGGATATTACTTTCCTTTGTGATTGATCAATCTTTGCGGTCGCATGTTAACATAAAAGTATTATTTCCAGATATAGATCTATTGTTATCCTAAAAGCTCAGGTTGATCACAGAAGCAACTTTGATCCTTGAGAGATGCGAAGGGTTTCATTTCTTATTGGCTAAACGTTTTTCTATTTGAGGTTCATGAAGCTGTATTATGTGAATATTTTAAGTTTTTCCTTTTTTGTATATACGTACAATGTAATGGCGCCATTTATTTGTTTTAACTAAACTTTTACGAATCTTAGCTATATTATATAAAATGGTTCGAGGATTACTAACAAATTTTATTTTTGGGAGCGTAAATGCTCGGAAAAAATATTTGCATGTTCAAACATTTTAAATCCTGACATTTATTCAACAATAAGTTCTTTGACTCTTTCGTGTTACGATAATCGTTATTTTAAATTGTTTAAAATTTTTTTCAAGGTGGAAGAATGAGAGTTAACTCACCTAATGCGTCATAAACGGCGTTTAAAGTATTAAAACGTAACTAATAATTTAGAATGTATGAAATTAACAATATAAATACATTGTTATTTTATTATAATGTAGTAGTAGTAGGTATAGATTAAGACGCAAAGATTATACAAAGTCGAGGTTTTGTGAATAAGAATAAATTCGCCAAATATTTTCCGTTTGGAAATAAGTTTGAGAAACACGGTAAATATTTGTTCATAATACTGCTTCATTTGGTAGTCACTGAGGAGTCTGGAACATTCCGTAGAAAATGCCGTGGCCCCCGGTATCGGAGCGGAAACATTTTTATCCTCATTTAATATGTATAGAAAATTTTATCAATCTTTCTTTTCTACAATTTTGCTGCATAGCAAAGACGTATTGGATTTCTAGAATGCTGTCATTCAAAGATTCTATTTTGTATGTTATACCTACCAAAGTATGTACATACATAATGTGCATAATATTTTTTACAAGTGAATAAATCTTGTAGTTTTGGATTATATTTATAAGGGAAGGTCGTTTTAACAGGTTATCTGAAATATAAAAATCAGTTCAGAACTATACAAAACATTTTGCCACATTTATATAAAATAATTATAACTACATGGAGTTTTTTTAAAGTCAGTCGAAAAAGTAATTAAATTGGTTATAAGCTTATAACGTTTTGTCAGCTACAACCCTTGTTGTACTTGACAAAGCGTTGAGGCCTACGTGGTTAACGGGATAGTGAGAATGGAATATTTGAATATCGAGTCCTCTAATTTGCAATGCTAATTTCGCCAATACAAATGTTGTAAGTTATTGTTATATAACAATATATATAACAAAACTATTCAGGTTGCTTTGTACATATATTTATTTTCTATAACGGTGGTGTTTGCTTGTGAATCTTATATTACTCAAATATATTGAAAAGACTTATTATTAGAAGAGTAACACGTCTGTATCAATGTTTATAAAGTTCATACTGTACTTCCTGTATTGATACATATTATTATATTATTCAATAAACATTTAATGACCTTTTTGCAATAAGAGCGTTGTTTTGTTGAAGTAGTTTAACACATATACACGTGTTGAAAGGTTGGATATTTTATTAATGCACGTCCTGTTTTTAAGGAGTCCTTTTTAACATTTTTGTGTCATTATGATGTCTCGTTGAACAATGATTTTGCTGATCGTGGCGTAATTTATCAAAGACCAAATTGTTTTAATGGCATTGTTAGCATGTATTCGGTACATTTATGAATATTCTGAAAATATGAATGTACTCGTATCATAGATATAATTTATTTTTATTTATTATACTTTAACATGCTTGATATATGATCTTCGATATATAATGGTTTAATGTGTAATAATCAAAGGATTTCACTAGACGAAAACATTTTCATTCCTGTTTAAAAACTAAATATTATCTAATAGAAGCTTCGACAATTCTAATATGCATTTATACATGCATAGCATTTAAGCCCGTGTGCGAATTTAATTTCGACTGATATTGTGGAACTAACTCTTAAATTATTATTCTCCAAAAAGAACAGGCTTTTCCATTTATGGTACCCTTTGTTGCAACTGACACTTTAATTTCAGCTAAACATAATTGTACATAGTATTTAGCTTTATGTACGACATAATTATGTACTAAAAAATACTCTTTACAGATATCTATTTGAATGAAATTTATTTTCCATTGTCTGTTCGTAATACCACACAATTTTTTATTCTTACTGAAAACTTTAGAAATAATTTAGTTTTAGCATAATTTTAATTAATTCTTACAAGAGTATCTTTTATAGTTATTGTGAACGTGACGGTCTACTGATATAGACAAATTTGACGTTCATAGTATCTATTACTTACTGATAGAATAATGTATATATCCTATTTGTAAATATAGATTTTGTGTTAGTATTTACTTGCTTAAAAATGTACACGCATGCTGTTACGTGAAGTACATATGTCGCCTAGCGACATTTATTTAAATATTATAATCTCCTATAATACGTTAAGGCTATAAATCTCACGATGACAACTGGGTAAAGTTATTGTCAACACTTTCACTGGTTAGTAGTCTCAGCACGTATTTTTCGCAGCTTGTTTTTATGGTTACGACGTGATAAATAGCCAGCTTATTAGTATTTAAAAGATTATAGTAAGGAAAGTTGTTACTGCGTTATATTTATAAAGTCAGACGTCGAAGTGTTCATCAACGTCATCTGAACAATTATTATATAATTACCTTTTTTATCTCTTAGAATTACTTCTTACCTTTGGAAGAAGGAAATTATCAATTGGAGTGTTCTTGTATATATGTTATACAATATTTATACACTGTTTACTGATTGTTATATATTTCCTTATATTTATATGTACAAATAAATTTAGAAATATAATTTCTTTTTCGACACTTTCGAAGTTAATATCACGCTAGCATTAAATTGTATTTCTTATCTGGTGAATGTAACCAGATAATATAAGACAGAAGACAGGTGTCCCGTCTAGGACGGTAAGTGACTTTTTATGGCAACATAATCTAATATGACCAAGTACTAGTATAAAGGTATGAAAAAATATTTGGTTCTGACATACATTTTTTTTATGTGTATATTTTGTACCATTTCCATAAATAAAATAGTAAGACGTCTTAATTTTACACAGTTCTCACTATACGATAACAAACCTATTTATATTTGTTGTCAGCATGTAGGTACTGGATAAAGATTTTTTTTGAACAGATTTTAACCGGATTTTTTGTGTCTATTAATTATCCTGTGTGGTTTGACTAGTTTTGGTAATCTCTTTAGATAAATTATCAGATTAATCTAAAACGAAGTTCTGACATAAAAGTAAGGAATACAATAAAATCTAGAAAAATAAGGAATAGTACAACATCTTTTTTCGGGCATATCATTATGCCTCAATAAGCTATATTGTGTCCGATTTCTTTTATTTTCATAATGGTGTCTCACACTGACACACATAATCAAGTAGCTTTTAATGGCAATAACGGCAAATAGCTGATATACCTACCACCTGATGCTAAGTAACAACCTATAAACATCATCATGTGACGCCAATAGTATCTAATGATAATGATATCGCCACTCATGCATTGACAGTCCAGGAGTTCAGATGTTACTCCTTATTCTGGAATTTCACTGCTGCTTGGTGCACCGAACTAGGCGAAACTATTAGGCACATTGATTGAAGTAGAAAAAGTATAATCCATCACATTTAAAATAAGTATTGTTGCTAAGTAACAGTTTGTATGTAACGTGCAACTGCAATCGGAACGAAATA